ATAGCTAGAGCATTCAGAGGTGTTTGTTCCATTGAGCGTGAATGGGGCATCAGAAACCAATCCGTTTCTCATGAACATCGTCTTCGTTAGATTCAGCTGTACCGGTTTCTTCCACACGCGCAGTCGAAATCAGCCAGCATTCGTTCCGCTTGCTCGATGTTTGGTGTTATCAAAACGATGTCGTCAGCAAAGCGGAGATGGTGTAGTTGCCGGACCGTCGACTTTCACTCCCATGTCCTTCCCATTTCAGTTGACGCATGCTTGCCCGAGAGGCGCTGAAGTGTTCGGGCGAAATGGTGTCACCCTGTTGAATCCGACTTTTCAAGTCAGTAGTGATCCCCTCGTAACTGGCAAAATACCGCTCGTGAAGTTATTGCAGGGCTCAAGAAGGAAGCTTATATCCAGTGCCATGACAGGCTTTGAATGACCTCCCAGCAATACTTTTTTCCAAAGCTGTATCCCATTGCTGTGTGCGGTGAAGGTGAAAATTTGTGCTTTTACTCAAAAAAGGACAACGCTTACTCACTCAATATCGCACATCCACTGTGCAAAGCTTGCAAAGTTGAACAAGAGAAAAATAGGATGGAAAATTTGGAGCGAAAAATCAAAGTAAATAAATTCCTACCTGGGCATTCGGCGAGTTATGCAGTAGAGCTTCAAGACAGGATTGGTAATAACCCAGATCCTTTTCAAATTCTCTACTCTCAACATCAAAAACGTAAATTAACACCTGAAACACTTCACTGATATTCGCCACCAAAGAAATAAAAGACGCCAAGACTGGTATACCCTATAATTACTCACCTGAACATTTTTGAAAATCTGATCTTTTTGTGAAGACAGATAGTTGTTCATGAAAGTCTCCTGACCACCACAATCCCACAAGTGTAAAACAAGGTTTCCGAGGAAACTGAAAGTATGACAATCTGCGTAAGAGGACTTCTATGAGACCCAGTGAGGGCAGCACAGAGGGGACTTGCAGTTTCGACGGTCTTTTCCTGTTATGAGTTACATTCTTGTTCGCCGCAGATGATGGGGCATATCAAGGGGTGTAAGTTTGCAGCGTTCCAAGCCCGTTTCAGCTTTTCCTTTTCTATCGGCAAGCGAAAAAACTGCATCATATCGTCCGTATGAGTCGTTTTCCCACCAGTTGTTGTCGTCTACACGCTTCAACGACTGGTAGAGAACAGGCTGGCGATGCGCCAAACGCGTCCTCAATGACACGC